AATACTTATATAATTTTTCTTATATAATTTTGCCTCAATTTTGATAATAATTTCTTCTCTGCCAATTTAATTTTGATTGTTTGTTAACCATTCATTCATGAGCTGAGAAACCAGATTGTTGTAATTGAATATTTATTAAAGTAGAGAATTTTTAAAATATACATGTTTTTTGTTTTAAAAATATAAATATTTTACTTCGAAAACACAAATTTCCTGCTTTATAAACAATTCAGATTGTTCCCCATTTATGTAGTTTTACCAAGTTATTAAATTACACGAATTACTTCTGTGCAAAAGTTAGTCCAGTCAACTGCTATATGTGATGATATATTTAGTTCTTTTTCTAGGAATGGTTGCTTTACAAACACAAATTCTTTACTTTAAAACCACATTTTTTTAATGAACTTTTTTTGTTAACAATTTTTTAACAAACAACAAGCGACGGCTAAAATTTGTTCAAGATCACACGAAGTCATGATCTTAACAACATATGTCAAAGTCAAAATCATTGGAGGATAGTCCTTTATATGCATAATTACCAAAATTTTAATTGGAATATTTTTAATTAAATTGATCAAACTAAAGTCAATTTTTAGCCTCGAATGATACTATTTATTTATCTTTGGCAATAAAGTAAACGATAAATAAAGTAAACGGTTAATTGAAGGTTACTCACTGGTTTTGGTCGACATTCCGATGATTTTGTGATTACAGTTGAAATATACGAAGATGAAATTGGTCGCACGGACATTGACAGTGTCCGGGGACTGTGTTTTTTACTTGAGACTTTTGAATTAGAACGCAAAAGAATGAAAATAGCTAGTTGCTTTTGCCGGAGAACGGCATTGATAAGAGTTTTGGGGATAGGTAGATGAAATTTGTACGCATAGCTTTTGCCGACAATATCAGTATGGTACTGGTAATTGAAAGTAAAGGCCGCAGCACAGACTTTTGCATAATGCATAACGCATAGTGTATAAGCAAATCAATTAATCAGAATTTTTCTTTTCTTCCGATTCCATAAAAAAGAAGAATTTTGATTGGATTTTCTTATGTACTATGCATTATGTGTTATGCAAGAGTCTGTGCTACAGCCTTAAGTATTTTATTACCTAAGGCAAATTTTTCAAATCTTATTGATTATGAGATAGAGAGATCCGAAGACCTCTCTGTCCTACACACATTTGTCATACGATAAAACCGCACAAATGAAATAGCACTCTAAAGACCATGGCACATAAAAAACTTAAGGCAGTAAGACATAAGCAATAAGGAAATCAACATGTTGGATTGATTACTGCTTACGTTATGGCCTTACGGATTTACCGAAATTGGTCAATTCGCTTACTGCTTATGTTTTATTGCTTAAGTTTTTTTATGTGCCTTAACGTTTGCCGCGCGGCAAAGTTAGCATAGTATACAATTATAGCCTAATATTATATTTGTCGTATGGCAACACATTTCAAGCCTATTGATTGGCTATAAGAAAGAGAAGTTATCGAATCTCTCTGTTTTATAGTCAATCAATGAACTTAAAATCTTTGTCGTATAATGTCGTAAATGTAAAGCCCATTTACAATAGTCGTAAGCCCATTCTACAATAGTCGTAAGCGTAAGGGTAAGCGTAAATTAACCAATCAAGTCAAATATAAGAAGAATATTTGACAGTGATTGGTCAACTCTTACAACTACAATCACTTACAGCTGTGCTTACGGCTATTGTAAAACAGGTATTACCGATCTTAAGGCCATTCTACATTGGTCGTATCGTAGACGTCGCAAGTCACAAGCTTGTTGCTTCAGCCAATCCGATGCTTCAATTTTAAAATCGCATGATACTTACAACGCTTCCGGCCTTTACGTTCTTACTGGAAAAGCTAAAAAATAAATTAGCTCTTGTGCAACAATTTCCGTCGCGCGGCAAGTGTAGGCGCGTTCTGTGTGTACAGAAGCCATATATCGTATAATATAAAAATATCATAATATAAAGTAAATATTTTCTGTCACGAACTAAATATAGATTGACCTTTGTATATATTGAAATGGATATGCAAAACAAAACACAATTCTGACATTCGTACTCTCAGTCTTTCAGCAAATTTCCCGGCATTTTCATTAACTAACTTCACTTCTTTCAGTTAATAAGTATTACGGCGATTTTTATTAACGAGAATGATATAAATATTTACTAAGTGTTTAATAATTGTTGTGAAAGCCGAGGACAAAGATTATCGAGATATCTGAAATCTGGAGCAGGCCACGTACGGCCAAACGAGCCACAATGTTATCACTCGGCTCATTCAGAAGTATAAATTTATTAGATTATTTTTAAATAAAATCGTAATGTTTAGAATTGTAATTCAATACACAGATACACTAAAATGTTTATTGCTCCTGAGTAATTACATGGGACATCTTACATTATTCCTAAAAGCATTAAAAGGTAGAAAGATTTGTCTTTAAAGAATTAACATTCTCACAGTAAACTGGAGGAGTCGACATTGCGGCGAGATGATGACAACTTCTCTCTGGTAACTGTAACAAGCGTTTCCCTGCAGGAGAGCACAGGCAGCACTTTCACTGGGTCAGTCTACACAAATTGGGAAGAGAAATTCGCCTGTCACTCATTACAGGGCCGAGGTCGCGTTTTCAGCTATCGAAAGAGAAGGACTTACTTCGGCGATGGAGTCTTCAGCGCACCAGCTGGCGTCTGTCCGCGTCATGTTACTTCATCAGTCATTCGTCGTAATACAGGTCGAATGTTAAATCGCAATTGTTACGACTTTTATTTTGAATAAATAGAGGTGACTTCCATAATTCAATCTGCAAGCAGCGTGTTTGAAATGGGAAGTATACATTCTATGTTTTGTCTCTTCACTTACTTTCGACGAGATAAAATATGTGAATACGTAGCAAATTGATATTTTTCTCGAAATGAATAAATAAAAAATGAAAACATTATTCTATTACAGGCGATTCTCGGCTTGTGTTTGTTTGGCCGCAGAAAACCAGCCGGAGTCGACTCTCGAATGTCCTTGTGCCCCTTCTACGTGGTATCCTAGTTGGATTATTATTCATAGACGCTCTTCATCTATGGCCTGGAGAATTTTTACCCACATGTCTACCGCCGACCATGCCAATTACTCTACCGCCGGTCAAATGTAACGTCATTGAGCCGCGTTGGTACGATAATAACTGAATTTTTGCATCGCCTAATTATGTTCGCATAAATATATATATGTTTGCGATATCGCGAATATAATTTTATTAAAACACTATACAATCTTCGATAAAAAAAAAATTATTTTGTTTGAAGGCTTTTTGATCTTTTTAATTACATTTGGAATTCGTTTTAATTACGAGAAAAGACTTGCATTCGGGAAAACAGTTTCGCACAGTTTCAAGTTGAATGAAGACAATGATTTCTATGATCTCTAAATTTATAAAAAGTTGTACATGGCTTGGGCCTCATAATTAAAGTCTGTTTATATTATGAAAGGTAATAATTCAGTAACGTCCGTTTAGTAATCCGACGGAGCCTTATAGAATTGTAATTATGATTGAATATGTGAGTTAAATGATAAAAAATTCAACTGCAAACAAAATATTATTGATAACGAGAGTTTTACGTAATTTTTGAACAAATTGTAAAATTTGTTCATATCTACTTTTTCTGTTTTATCTGCATTTCTGTATCACTTGCGATGATTTGCATTTTTTATTATAACAAAAAAAATATTTTTCATACTTGTGTCATAATGTTGCAATCAATTTATAAAATAAATGCTATATACACATATATGTGCGATTCTTTTGAGTTTCTTTGTATTTCTTTTGAGTTTCTTGTATTCCACTATTTCTTGGTTTCTACTATTGCATTATTTAGTGTATTTATGCTCTATTTCCTCCTGTTTGTTCTTTAATGCTGTACTGATATAAATTTGGAACTTTTCTATATTTTTTAGGTTGTATGATCTTTTATTCGTTTTTCTTATCATTTTGTATCTCTCTTTCCCTAATGATATATTTAATGTAGCTCTTACCAATCTATAGTCGCTGCTGGTAGTAAACTGATTTAATATTGTAACGTCTTGAAATATTTCTTTTTTGTCAGTGATAAAGTGATTTATTTCATTTTTGATTCTTTCGTTTGGGCTTTCCCAAGTCCATCGTCTGTCATTTTTTCTTGGAGAAAAAACTATTCATTTGATGTTGTCCATTTTCCAGTAGAAATCCTAATAGTTGTTTGCCTCTTTCGTTTCTATCTTCTGTCCCGAAGTTTCCTAATGCTATTTCTATTGGGACTGTTTTTAAACCAATTTTTGCATTGAAATCTCTGCACGTAATTGTGAAATGGCAAGTCTTCTTCCATTGCCTTTAGTATATTAGAGTAAAAAGAACTTCCATTTCTTCGTCTGTGTGGTCCGTAATTGAGACTATCCCAGTGAGAAATAAAATCGACATCGAATCGATGTCGAAATCATCACATTAACGTCGAATTGATATTGATTCGACATCGATTTCATTTCTCACTAGGATACGCTTGAATGATTTTCAAGTTATATCTGCTATTTAGTTTTTAAATCAGGTATGCAACTCTAGTAGAAACTTGTTTTATGGCTAATATATTATCTGAAAAGCTTTCATGAATAATGAAACGTATTTCTTCTACTGATTCGTTTTCTTCCCCTATATGATAGAATTTGTGGCCCGATCTTAATGTTATCAAATTTTCTCCGTGTTTTCTCACCTCGCTAATTCCAACGATATCCCATTTGATCTTTGACAGTTCCATTTCTAACTCCTCGAATCTTTCCTCTGAGATCAGTGATCATATATTGCAATCTTTGATAGTCCTTTTGTTTTTGGCGCGCGTTTTTTGGGAATAATCAAGTTTTTGTCAGACTGAATGATCAGTATGAGATTCTGGATACTTTATTCTACTCATGTGGGGTAGTTTCGATTTTGAACACATCTTCATTAGTGAGGTTTTGGCCATTTCTCATCACGCTGGTCAGACGGATTGGCGAGGGATAGACGATATAAGGAGGGATATGTGATTTGGTGGAGGGAGGGGAGAGTTTGAGGAACATGATTTTTTTCTGTTATAAGAATTGGGATGAAAATCACGGCTCACGCCGGCAGAATCGCGTCCCTGAAGTCTTACACCGGGTTCGTATAGGAATACCTACTCGCTACCTAAAGCTTTCCAAATATTTCTGAATATTTCTGAAAAATATTCCAATTTGTATAAAAATTATGAGAAAAATTTTCATCAGGGAAGAGAGAAATATATCTGTCTAACTTTAATGCGGCGTAATGAAAATGAACTTATTTGTAGTATTTTGAAAAGTTCTCGGCTCAAATCGTCTCGTATCGCGATTCTGATTGGAGGGTTTCTAATATTATCTAAGAATGTTATTCAGAGGCATGCCCTGGATAACATTTGTTAAGATCAAGGTCATTGAACCCAGTAAGCACAATGTTATATGTAACACTGTAATGTTATATTACGCAATGTGTTATATTAGTTATCTTATTGAGCTGACATTACACGTTACATGTACATTACATTGTATGTAACATTGTGTTTACTGGGAAGATTGTTTTCTAGCTTATTTTTAGTTTCATGTAAAAATAAATTTTTAGTAAAAAAAAATGAAAATAAGAGAAACAACCTTCAATAACTTTTATCATAATATATATAT